CACCACCTTCTCTGCTGCAGCAGTACTGTACCTCTGAAATTATGTTCTTGCGGTCTGGCCCTAACTCTACTTAAGACCCTGGTAAATGTCTCCCTTGGAACAAGTTCCTGGCTTTCAATACAGATTACTTGGTTCCCAAAATTAAGATTTCCTGCTGGGAATTTGGGTAGTTCCAAACATGCTTTACCATCTTAGTAGCCATTACTTTGTTCCAAGTTATACTCCAGGAAAAAGCAAAAATAAAGACTTCCATCACATAGGATGCCAAGTCAAAGGGCAGGGATGTGACTTTGGGGAGGCCTACACACCTGTGAATGTGGTAAGCTAAACTTTAAGAAAGCTAGAGAGTTATATTTTTCAAAAGGCTAATTCTTTAACTCTTTAATGGCCTTGTCACTGTAAACTTACCAACACCAATAGTTGATAATATCCTTTTCAGGAAAAGATGCTAAATTTAGGAAATGTTAACATTCATGAGAGGTTACCATATTTTTTTTTATTCCAGAGACAAAGCAATAATCTCTACATTGGGTTCATAATATAAGATAATTGTCTGAGCAAAAGACTGGGAGAAAGCATTTTCTTAATTCTAATCTTATTTCTCAACTGGCCTCCCTTTGAGGCCTTTATTTTAGACTCTTGTTTCTCAACCTTTTTAGACTCAAGGCACCTCTTGATAGACTCAAGGCAACCTTCAGAGAATGCCATACCTTATCTTTAATTTAATTTTTGATTAAAGAATAACAATAGAGTGAATCATGATTAGACATCTTTGTGCTAAAATTGTGTGGCACTCAGCAGCACCTCCTTGAAAGAATTTTGAGACACCCCAGGGTGCTGCAGTACCCTGATTTAGAATCACTGACTTAGACTCTCTCAGTTTTCTACTGTGTAAAATGACAATAACTCTTACAGCACCTATAACATGTAGCCTTATGAGGCCTTGCTTAAAAGTGCTTGAAAAATGTAAAGCATTGCACAAATGTTAGGTAGTAAATGTGTAACAGGGGATGCTCAGAGCTGGTCTGCCATTGGCCTACCCACCTGTTTCTGGGCTAACTGCCCACCTCCTCTCCTGCCATGCCTTGTTGTTCCTTAATTGGTTCTAATAAGGCAGAAGGCTGCACATTCGTGCCCCAATGCCAGGGGGCACTATCTGTGGCTCCGTTGCTCCCCTACAGTAGCCCTAGCCTCACAGATGGCATCCAGGTTACACAATGCTCCTGACCTACAGCCAGACCAAGCTTACCCTTGTCAGGCCTGAGACACACACACATTCATCCCACCCTCCTCTCACTAGGGTCTCTCACACTCCACCCTCTGTCATGGGATCTCTTTCATGCATCAACAGCTTGTATCACCTTGCTCCCTCTCAGAGTGGGCCCCTTCGGCCATAGGCTTTACCAAGTGCATGTCTTGGGTGGCAGATGTACCATCTTTTGGGCCTCTCCTGTGACCCTCACCGGGGCATGGCCAGCCAATTACCTGATTGGGGCCAAGCTTGTCCTGGCCTCTCCCAGGGCAACTCTACACAAACTCTCACACACACACCAGGCTCCCAGCCCTCTGGTTTCCACTTAACTGGGGCCCCATATCCGCCCCCTCACTGGGGCCACAGGGCTTCCCTCCCCTGTGGGGACTCAAGTGGCCATAAACATGACTGGCCCCAACTGCTACCCACAGTAATGTGAGGGCTAGGGGTTATTGAGGCACCCCAACCTGTCTTCCACTGGGGCAGTAACTGGTCTGGTATTTTCCTGAGGGCTCCCACACCACTGGGAGCCCCACTAAGTCACCCACTCCTGCCAGGGTGCAATTTTAAGTCATACCCAGGACCAAGAGCCTTCTATACATCCCTCTTGCCCTTACCTCCAGGACTGTTCCTGCTGCAGCTCAGCTAGACAATCTTTCTGGCTGGCTGGCAGCAACAGACTGCAGCCTTTATGTACTAGGTTCTCAAAATGGCTGCCACCATCAGGCACCTGCTGGATGTCTGACCCATCCCTTAAAGTGACAGGCACCAACAGTGCCCTGCCACAAAATGCTTTACAAATGTTAAGTAGTATTACTTTATTTGTAATTAAAATACTTCCCATATATATTCCCTATGGATATCCAGAAGAACCTAAATATTGTTTCAGAAACACTGATTGGTAACTAATAACTATTTCTGTATTTCCTTTAGTTCCTAAGTATTTCCTTATATCCACAAGGTACAGTGGGCAAACATCTGTACCACAAGAAGGTCATAGACTTTCACCACAAAAATTGCATCCCTGACTGACTATGTTTTGAGTAATGTCCTAATTCAATTTGTTAATTTCATTCTTCCCTTTCGTACTTGCATCAATTTTACTGTCATGGAGACATTGAGTCCCTATCATAATTGCTCATGGTATAAAATATAGCTTCCAAGCAAATGTATACAAAAGGTGCTTTTCCTTATTATTTGTGAAACCTCAAGGCAGAACTTCTGGTATGTACAACTATGCAGTCACTCTCCACAGAAAACATAAATCACATAAGAGTGAGCTGGTATTAAAGAATTTAGCCCTATTGGCTCACTTTTTTTCTAACTTAGGCATGTATGACCCTTTGCCATCACTCTTGTGCTTATGCCAGCTGTTTCTGATTATTAAGAAAAGCAGCATTGCGTGCAGAATGTATAACAATAAACGATAGTCATGTGAATGGAGCACTTTGCTTCTAAGGGATATAAATATACACATAATAAAAGTAGGGTGACCGTAACTTTGTATCTCATAGAGAACAAATAATACCTTGTCAAGTATATTACAATGGAACCTGAAACCAACTGGCAAGGAAAAGGTATCCTATGAGGATTCAAGTTATTTTTTTTAAGTACTTTACACCAGTAGAAAAATAGATTAACTCAGATTCCCATAGTAGATAATTCTGAATAGTTAAGGGGAATAAATACATATTATTTGTCACATAATATGTTATCAACTAGTCCTCTAAATGATGTCATGGGCAGAGATAAATTTCATGCTCAAAAGAAAAAAAATCAGAATCTTTGATAAATTTCCCAACCCTTTATTTTGAACCAGACAGTATAAAAAACATAGGATGTGTGGCAAATAATAAACTTCTTTAATATCTCCATTAGGGAAAATAAAATTGACTATATATAAAAAATATAACCTTTGCATATAAAAGCACAAAAGCATATGAACTTAAAATGTACAAGAGCTAGTAGATCTCTTTTCTGAGTACATTCACATATTGACATAACAACATATTCCAAATAAAACTCCAATGAAACTTGGAACTAAATAAGACAAGGCAATATGAATCAAACACACAACTTCCGCAACCAATGAGGTAACATAGTACCCCACTAGGAAGTTCAGTGGGAGAAAATCCCTAGAGGATAGATATAAAAAAACAACAGAAATAATAAGGAGCTTTCATGTTTGTTTGTTTTAGCTTCCAAGAAGACCAAAGTTGTTTTAAAACTAGAATGGGTAAGGGGTGGAATATAGATGAAAGACTGGAAGATATGGAAGATTTTAAAGTCAATCCTGAGGTTTTTATTTTGTGGGGTTCTGATAGATACATTTTTCACAGTTTTAATGAAGTATTTAAAGCAGATGCCCTTTACAGATTTTTAACAAAATCATTTTTGAGAGAGCTTTTCATTCATCAAAAATGGCATTTGGGTAAGTGTCATTTTTCAGGAAAGGAAAAAATGAATTCATGATTACTAAAGGGATTTTGAACACTTGATTCAAAGATTCTGCAAAAAGAAATCATAATTTTGTGCACTTTACTTCACATATATGAATGTATGGACATATTGAAGCAGATCCTTGACTACTGCCATATTGCACACAGCACAGGGAACAAATGGGGAAAGGTGATTCAAACTTCTCTGTATACCTCGCCCTCCGATTCTGTTGCCATATAAAAAGCTGGTCTACCTTGTTGAGTTAGCAGAACTGTAGGATCAGAGAAATAAAAAGTGGCCACTTTCCCTTTCCTTTGGCCATGCATAAAATGACCTAATTTGGCTGGTCTTTGTAATAGTAAGGTTAGAAATGTATGTATTTTTAAGAAAGGCTTGGATTCTGGAGTCCAGGGACTAGACCCCTAGAAATAAGTGTATTGTTCAGTACTGCCTAAACATAGTCCAGAACTTGCATGTCAGGCCTGTTTTCACTTTTCAAAAATGAAAATTTTAAGTCCAAAAGGAACCATTAAAATCATCTAGTGTGACACAAAACAAAATGTAGGTCATAACATTTCATCTAATGAGTCCTGTAATGAGCCCAATACTGTGTGACTGAACTGGGGCACATCTTTACAAAGCTATCTAATCTTGATTTGAAGACACCAAGTGACAGAAAATGCAGTACACCCCTTGGTAAAATGTTGCAATAGTTGTTTGGCCTAATTTTAAATCAAAGGTCTTATTTAATTTATTTGCAACAATAAAGCAATATACAATTACTTTCACTCTAGGTTTTGGATTGCCTTGACAAAATAAGTTACTAATTGTAGTTTTTCGGATTATTCTTTTATTCAAAGATCCCTAGTTTTTAGAAAGAAATGCTTAGACACTGGCAGATAATCCTAATGCATGACATTTTCCCTTTCAGAGTGCCTCAATTTGTAAAACTACTGAAACACCTTGAAACCTGAAAGATGACACCCTTGCTCCTGCCTTTTGTTTTGAACCAAATCTGCATGTTCACAGAGCACAGAGCTGCCTCAACATGAAAGAAATTCCTTGCCCAGGAGAGCTTCCCACCAAGCCATCCTCCTGTGAAATATGAAACATCATAATCAGAAGGAAACATAATTCAACATCCTGCTTGCTGTCAGACAACTTTGAGGTAAATAGCCTGCTCTAACTGTTATCTGAGCCTAATTTGCACAAAATGAACCTTTCCAACCAGGAGATCTTACAACACCTTCCACTCTTCTGTGAAATATGAATTTTCATTTCCACCCAGGAGAAATTTTACAATCTTTACATTCTCCTATGCCTGACAAAAGGTGTGTGCACCTGAAAGCTTGCAAATAAATGCATTCATTTTGTAGAATTAATGTTCGTTATAGGATTGCCAGTAAGATCTAGAACAGGCACTGTTCTGGCTTGACTGGATAAAATGGCAGTTTTTACTACTATGCCATATCTCCAAGGTTAATAACTTCTGGGTAATCTGAATGTGATGCTGAGACATTCAATAGTTGTGGCAGATTTATTAGTTTTACTTTGTTTTACTAAGTTTTCCAAGAGATTTTTTGGACAAGGACAAGGATCATTTCAGAGCTGGGACCTCCTAGAATCCTTTCTTTGACTTTAATGGAAAGGTGCCAATCCAAATAACCATGTAAACTCACCATTCTCAGCAGCTGGGCCTTCAGACAAAATACCCTCATTCAAGCTTGTCCCTGATCCAGTAGGGCCTGAGACAGCCAGTTATCACTGAGTCAGGCAACAAAGTTGATCACCATTGGTGAAACTACCGCCATAGGTATGGATGAGGATTACATGTTAAATTCTATTTCACCTTTCTGCATCTATGTGGCATTTACGGAGCTATATAACAGCAAAGTTTAGTACTTGCAAATAGCTTGGATTTTATTTCCACTTTTGGCACAGTAGGATTGTCCAGGCATATGATTTTTGCCAGAAGTAAAACAGAGAGAAGAGAGTAAAAAGCAGAGGGCCTTTTCCTTTAGCCTAACAGTTTAGGGCACTTGCCTATGGGGTAGGAGAGCCAGGTTGTAAGTCTCGCCCTCACACAGAGAGTCTGAACCTTCATCTCCTGTTTTCCAGCAATGGTCTCTAGCTACCAGGCAATGCTCAGAGCATTTTTTAGACTTCCTATCAAAGTTGGCCCACTAGGCAGTCAGGAGAGGAAGATATATGGGGCCAGGAGGAAGAGAACAAATGAAAGAAAGGGGGTCTCAGTGAAATTAATACTACCCTGTGAAGAAATGAGTAGTGAGACTGTGAATGTTCTGGACAGTCACAGAAACACTAGTGTTGATCTAAAACTAATGAAAATATTAATCTGATGTCCTTTTTATTCTTCATTTGAGCAGTCGGTAGCATTCATATTAGCACCTGCATCATGAACTAGTTTATCTTAGCTAGCCATATTTCCAAAACACACATGTTGTTACAGTATTTTTGTTATTTTGCACAAGTAACTCCTACCAATCTTAAAACATATCAAAATACGTAAATGAGCCACCATTGCTATCTCTAATTCAAATGGAAAGTTAAATCAAAGTAAAAAAAACCCTCATAAATAAAATATACCTGAATATTTACATACATAAATCAGATCATATCAGGTATAATATTCTTATTTACACATTTCATGATTAATAAAAAATTGCATAAGATTCTCTAGGATTTCATAAACATGTGCACATACTTCCCTACAGAAATGGTGCAAAACTACATTTGTAAAAGGAGCACCCACAACTGATTATTCAGGCATAGGGAATACCTCATATTTAGTATTAAGAATCCAGGATGCCTTTGCCAGCACTCTGAGGCTGTCGCACAGCAAGTAAGATATTCTCAGAGAGCTTCTTCACGTGAAATAGAAAGCTATTAATTAAATCTTTTCAAACAGTGACACACTGAAACTCAGGTTATTATGTTTAGTGAGGCACTGAGGATTCCTTGGTAAAGAGGTGAATGCAAAAGTGGTTGAACTAATGATATTATCTATTACTAACTCTTACAGATTAATGAGATGTGACTGAAAGTTTTCTACCAATAAAATAAAGACTTTTTAGGAGATTGTTAGAAAGGAGATGCAACTATATATATATTCAAACATATTTCAAATAATTAATTACTTCTGGTAAGTTAAAGGGGTTGAACTTAAGTTCTCTGATGCAATAAATCATGTTCCATACTTAACAAACACCAGTAGCAGTCAAATGCAGATTGAAAAACTAATTGCATATACAGAATTTGGGCAGATTTTGGATATCTAAGTAAAAAAAAAGCAATCTAGAATACCTCAACGTCAGACACCATGAAAAGCCTAAGGAACTTATATTCATGCAATGCTTGTATATTAGACTGCAAAGATTCCTAGACATCTAAACTTAGGCTTCTACACATGTGCAGAAGTAATACAGGCATTCATCTCCCACCTAAGCTTCACCTGTGATCCCAAATTAAATTCTTATTAGTGAATGTTAAAAATCATAGTTATTTACATGGCTTTGTAGAGTTGGAAGTAGGGATGTGAAAGGTTAAATGAATAATCATTTAACCAATAAGCCCAGTGATAACTGGTTAACTTACTGGTTTTTGTTTAGCTTGGCGTGGAGCATAGTCTGGCAGGGAAGGAGGGAAGGGAAGCTGCATGGTACCCCAGCAGGAACCAAAAGGTGGCAGAGCAGGCAGGAGGAGGAGCAAGGAGGGGAAGGGCAGAGAGGGGGGAACAAGTACCAATAGCCTAATACAAAAGCAGCAGGTGGCCTAATTACTCACCAATTAAGCAATTAGCTGATCATTCACAGATGTTTCCACCGTCTCAGCATGGGGCTTCAGGTGGGCTGTATTGTCTAGCTGGGCTTCCTCCCCTCCTCCAAAGGGCCCAGGAGCAGCTCCCAGCAGCAGCTGTGTTAGAGATTCTGTGTTATCCATTAACCATAACAGAGCACAAAAAGGACATTAAATGATTATTTTCATTAGTTTTAGATCAACACTAGTGTTCCTGTGACTGTCCCGCATATTCACAGTTGCACTACTCATTTCTTTACAGTGTAGTATTGATCTCACTGAGACCCCCTTCCTTTCATTTGTTTTCCTCCTCCTGGTTAAATGGTTATAATTAGAGGACAATATGTACAACAATTTTTAAACAATATGTACATCCCTAGTTAGACGATAATATAGGATACAATACAGGATAGCTACATGGGCACATAGTTGGTGTATGTAAATGCAATTTAAAACATGCAGTTAGTCATACAGCCAATGTTAGCCTGGGGTATGGCAGGTTAAGAAGTTCCAAAGCTATGAACTGGCAGAAAGAGAGAGAAGGGAAAAAAGCTCTTTGAAACATCTTGAGTTCAGTGTTATCAGTTTTTGAGTCACTGGGATATTTATTATTTATTTGGAATTCACAGGTTCCATCTCTCTAGGTATTTTACATAAACTAAACTAACAATGTGTAGCACACAAATTAAAGATCTGACACATAGTAACTGCATTGGTACAGAGCTGTAATAGTTTAGGGCACTTGCCCATAGAATACAAGACTCAGGCACAAGGTCCTTCCATTGTCTTAGAGCAGAGGTGGGCAAAGTCCAGCTCACGGGCCTGACCGGACCCACAGTGGACTCCATTTCCCAGCAGCCCCTGCCCCTGTTGCTGCAGCTGGTTTCATCGTTTCATCGTTAGGGGCTGGAAGAGACCTTACAGATCATCGGGTCCAGCCTCCCCACACTTGGGCAGGAAAGACTGCTGGGATTAGATGACCCCAGAAAGATGGGCATCAAGATGCTTTTTGAAGATCACCAGAGTGGATGACTGTACCACCTCTGGGGGGAGCCCTCAGCACTCAACTTGTAAAGAAATTTTTCCTCATGTCTAACCTCTTCAGTCAGCTTGTGCCCATTATTTCTTTTCCTCCCTTGGGGGGCCTTGGTGAACAAATGCTCCCACAGGCCCTGATGTACACCCTTGATATACTTACAGGCTTCCAACAAATCCCCTCTGAGTCTTGTCTTCGCCAAGCTGAACAGTCCCAAATCTTTCAGCCTCTTTTCGTATGACCTGGTCTCTATGCTTCAAATCATGTGTATAGTCCTCCTTTGGACTTTCTCTAAGCGTCTCTACATCGTTCCTGAAATGCAACACCCAGAACTGGATGCAGAAATCCAGCTGTGATTGAACCAAAGCCGAGTAGAGAGGAAGGATGACATCCTTAGCCTTGCTCGAGATGCCTCAGTAGATGCATTCCAATGTTTGATTAGCTCTGCCAGCTACAACTTCATATTGGTGGCTCATGTTCGTTTTGTTGTCTATCATGACATCTCATTCAGATGTGGTGCTAGCAAGCATAGCACTGCCGAGCCTCTAAGTGTGTTGTAGATTATTTCTCCCTAGATGGAGAACTTTACATTTCTCCATATTAAACAACATCTGGTTGAGGTCCACCCACCTCAATAGCCTGTCCAGGTTGGCCTGTATTGCCAGCCTGTCTTCGAGCATGACCAGAGGATTGGTGTTGTCAGTGAACTTTGCTAATTTGTTTTTAATACCCGAATCCAAATAGTTGATGAACATGTTGAAAAGCACTGGTCCAAGTACTGAACCCTGAGAGATGCCACTGGTCATCTTCTGCCCTGATGACTCAGTTCCATCAATCAATACTCTCTGGGTCCTACCAGTTACCTGGCCACCAGACTGTAAAGTAGTCAAGGCTGTATTTTCTCAATTTTTTCATAAGGACTTCATGGGAGACCATGGGAAGTCTAGGTATCTGACATCAACCTCAATTCTCCCATAGAGGTGGCAAGTAACCTGATCATAGAAGGAAATGAGGTTGGTCTGGCATGGCCTGCCTGTAATGAAGCCATGTTAGCTATCCTTCAAAATGCTGCCTTCTGCCAGCCTGTCTATAATGGATTCTTTGATCATTTTCTCCAGGATTTTACCAGGGATTGGGGTCAAACTGATTGGCCTGTAATTTTCCAGGTCTTCCTTTTTCCCTTTCTTAAAGATAACGCACCATGTTGGCCTTCTTCCAATCTTCTGGGGCAGAGCACCGTGAGTCTTCAACTAACTTTGCCATTGGTCACGTGATGACAGTAGCCGGTTCTTTTAGCATCCTCAGGTGTAGTTCATCTGGTCCTGCTAACTTGTAGATATTTCTCATTTGTAGGTGATTCCCCACAAGAACTATGTCAACTATGGGTGGGTGGTCACTTGTATCCTGTCAAGCAAGCTAACACCCTTGGACTGGTGGAATACAAACATGAAGTATTCATTCAGGAGTTTGGTTTTGGCCTGAGTGTTATCAGCCATCCCATTTCATTCATCAAGAAGGACATTTTTTGACCCTGATTCCAGTTGACAATCTGGTTTGTGCTTTTGATGTTCTGATCTGCTCCCTACAGGTGCAGGCTGTTGCGAAGTACTCTTCTGGTAGTTATTCCTGACTTTCATCCTTTGTATGCTGCTCATTTTAATTTCAGGAGGTCCATGACTTCTCTGTTGAGCCAAGGGGGTTTCCCAGCCCTTTTGTTGCATTTCTTATGAAAGAGAATGCATTTCCTTTGAGCTTTTAGATTACTTCCTTTTCATGAAGACCCCAGAAGCAGCAGAACCGTGACAGCATGGGGCCAGGGTTTCCATGGAGACTGGCCCCAGCAGTGCTGGCAGGGTGTTCAGCAGGGCAGGGCAGGGCAGTGCAGGGAGCTGTTCTGGGGCCAGGATCCTGCAGCAGTGATAGCATAGTCCAGATCTGGGGCAGGAGTGCAATCCTCTGCCTACCTGCACACACCAGTCAGGGGCATGCAGGCAGCAGATCACAGCTCTGCCCCAGCTCCAGACCATTCTGTCACCACTGCAAGATCTGAGCCCTGGCCCCAGAGCAGCTCCCTGCCCAGCTACATGCCCTGCCAGCACTGGTAGGGATTGTCCCTGTCGAAACCCTGTCCCTGTGATGTCATAGCTGCATCATTCCTGTGGTCTCCATGGAAAAAGTCTGCAGCAGTATAGGCAGGGGCAGTGGGAAATGGAGTCGGGCCACAAGCAAGATCTACTATTTTGCCCACCCCTGTCTTAGACAATGGTTTTAGCATTAGTAAAAACTGCCTAAACTCTCCATTACTAAACTCTACCAAACAGAAGGCAGGGCAGGTTAGCACTTTAAAGAGGCATAAGTTTTCAACAGGCCCTAAGTAGTCCAACCTAGTGATTAGGTCCAAGGTCAGGAATCTGAGTCTGGAGCTAGAAGTCAGGACAAAGTGAAAGCCAGCAGCTACAGCCAGTTATCAGCCAGGGTACAGATGCCAACAGGGCCATCCCTGGGGTGGGAGGTGAATTGGGGTGACTGCCCCAGGCCCCACACTTTGGGAGGCCCTGTGGAGCCGGGCGGAGCAGCCGTGGCAACTCCACACTGCCACGGGTTTTGTGTCCCACTGCTGAATCTGTCGCCAACTGCCTTTCATCCAGGGGTGGGACTCTACACAGGCTGATTTGCCCTGGGCCACGCCCCCTGCTTGGATCATCTCTGCATGCCAAAGATATGGTCATAAGCAGATCAGGGTCAGAGAGCTAAACTGATGATCAAGAACAAGTCTGGGTGAAGAAGCCAGAGTTAGAAAGCTGTAAATTAAGTTAGGAGTTACTGATTATGCCAGGGTCAGAAGCTAATAGTCATTAGCCATGGGCCAAAATTTAGAAACAGATGTAGGAGTACAGGAACAAGAAACAGAGTCAGGGTAAGATGCTAGGATCAGGGGACTGTACAAAGTTAATTGGAGATTTATAATTAGAGCTACCATCATCCACTCTGCCCTTTTTAAAAGCTATAATGGGGACAGAGTCAGCTTCCTGCTAGCAAAACAGTCAGTGATTGGCTACCAGACTGATAGATCTCTGCCTGAAATAGTGACTTATCAGAACAGCGATTCATTGGAGGGGTGGAAATGGTACTAGTGGTTAGAGTACCTAGCAAGAAAGGTGAGGGTATCTGAACTTATACCCAGGGAGTAACCCAACCATAAGATTACAAAATGTGCTAGGTCAGGGGTGTGCAATTATTTTAGCTGGAGGGCCGTTTAATGAGTTTTAGTGAGCCATTGAGGGCCACAAGGGTAGCTCCTTCCTTGATGGGTGCCCAGCCCCCTTGTTGCCATCTTGGGAGCAGAAATCCTGCCCCTAACCCCTGACCTTTCTCACCAGAAGTCTCTCCCCTTGGCCTCTGAAGTACTGCTTTTGGGAAGAGGGTTGGCTATTTTGGAACCAGAAGAAAAACAAATTATATACTAAATATCAAACATCTAAAATAACATATTTTAATTTTATTTTTAAAAAAATGTGTCCTATTTGTGAGGGTTTGTGTAAGGTATATAGAAATGATTGCATAATAGCTCAAAATGAAGTCTTACTCTTGTATATTGTGGGGTGGGGCATGCAAAGGGGTGTGAGGGTATGGGGGTGGGTATAGGGATTGTGTAGGATGTTGGGGGATGTGTGTGTATGCGTGTGGGGGGGTGTTGGGAAGGGTGTGGGTGTGTGTGGATGTGTGTGAGAGATTTGTGGAGCGGTATGCATAGGTGTAGGGGTGTAGGTGTGGGTGTAGGTAGGTGGATGGGTATGGGGCTTGTGGGGGATGTGGGTGTGTGTGTATGTGGGGTGCAGAGGAATGTGTAGGTGTGCATGTGGATGTGTGGGGTCTGTGTGGGTGGTTATAGAGTCTGGCAGAATCTAAGTTTGTGGGGGGTTTTGTGGGGAGGTGTTTATTGGGATGTGTGTGTGTGGGTATGCGGTTTGTGGGGGTCTGTGACATGAGTGGAGGGAGAGGGTGACTGGGGTGTGTGGGTTAGTGTGTATGGTGGGGTGTGCATGTGGGATCCCACCTACAAACACCCTCCCACACACACCCCTCCATTGTGCACCGTTCCTGCTACCAACAGATTCCCCCAGCAGCATGCAGCCCCAGCAAGCCCCAGGACGGTATGTGGCCAGGCCACTGGTTCCATAATGTGGGGCTCACATTCCCAAGCCCCACACCACTGGGGAGAGCCCTGCTCAATGAACCTGTCAGTACAGGTCATGGGACTCAGCCAGGGTGGCGGGAAGAGGGGCAGAGCCAACCTCACTCCATATTGTGGAGCTCCCTGCCATTCCCCATGACCTGTGCATAGGAGTGAGAGGGGAAGGCTCATGGGGTGTATCATGGGGTGGCTCCCTACAGGCACAAGGCTCACAGAGAACTCAGGAAGTGGATGTGAGCCTTGTGCAATACAGCCAGGCAGACCTTATGCCCCCACCAGTCCAGGCTCCATGCTCCTGCCTCCTGGCCCTAGGTCCCTG